GACGCTGGGGCTGAGTATAGACACACATAGTGTTCTCTGTAAGCCCCAGATACCACTGCTGAGTTATTTGTCGGTTCTCCGTTTCTGTCCCTCAAGGAGAACGCGGCTGGCTTGTTTCTGTGGCGATGTCTCATGTACTTGAATGGTACGTTTTTGTTTTTTTCGAGCGAGGTCCAGAATGATGGCTTGTTTTCGTATGTCCCATTTGCGGATTTCTGATTTACAGCAGTTCCCTACTTTACGAAATGCCAGCTCATCTTCTGTATCCCCTGAAGTTAACTTTTTGAAAAAGAGTTGGGATCTTTTTCCCAGAAGTCGCCAATTCTTTTTGGCGGCCTGCGGTTCATCCGAGTGCGTGCTGTTTTTTGGGACGAACGTCGCGTCAGCCTCGTGAACTTTCTGGAAAGTGGTCCTATATAGTTCTTCCACTGGAGCTGGTCCCACTGTGACTTGTTCAAGAAAGATGAGCATTCATGAGAAGTCTGCACGACAGAAGTCTCGAAACCACGTTTGAGGTTCGGGATATCTGGCCCAGTAGCAGATAAAATCAAAGGTCAGCACACAGAGGTCACCATGTCCCAGTGGAGCGTTAATTGTTGATCGATCAACGAAGTGTCTTTCTTTAGTGATGACCAAATCCCGGAGAGATGGTAGTTGGCCTGCGCGGCATCTGGGGGGTGCACATGTCGAGTAGATGGTAGTTGGCCTGCGCGGCATCTGGGGGGTGCAACGACATGTCGAGTTCAAGTGCTCTGTTGAACGACTCCAATCAGCGCCACTGCATAACCCCACATAATTCGACGCGCTGGAGCTCAATCCAGGAGGCCTTGGAGCGTTGAAGTTACCCATTAGCAGGATATGCGTGAAATGGTAGCTGGAGGAGAGTTGCTCAAGGGTTTGTTTGAGGAATTGATCATCTTCAGGTGGACTCGAGGGGCTATGGTAGACCACACCGAGTAGGAGAGAATCGGACCCGCGCAGCGGGATTTGGACCCACAGTGCATCGCAAAAGGGTGTGGAGGTTGTGTCAGAGAGGACAATCGGAAATGCTAGGGCCACATCTAAGTACAGAGCAACCCCACCTACCCGCCCTCGTTTTGAGTCGGCTCGGAAAATAGAGTAACCGTCTATCGAGATCTCCGCGTCAGAGACATCTGGTGTGAGCCAAGTCTCTGTGAGTGCGATTATGGACTGTTGTTCAAGGTAAGCTGACTGTTTAACATCGCCGAGTTTGTGGAAAAGGCTGAGGCAGTTTGTGGACAAGCATTTCAACACCGTCTCCGCTGCCTCCGAGGGTGAGGAGCCGAAATTTGAGTGACCAGGGTGGTTAGCAGACTTAATAGTTGTGCGCCGTGGTTGAGTCTAAGGCTCCGAAGGTGCGCCTTGGGCGATGTCGCCTGCTTCCTGTTTTCGTGGTTTCTGGGGGTGCTTTTCGCATGCGATTTTTTTCGTTTCGTGGGAGCCTGGTTTGCTCGGGCCTTTTGGCTTTGGGGGACGAGGTCTTTTCCCCCGTGGGCGAAAATTTCGACCGTTGCTGTTTGTAGCTCTTTCAGCACCCCCATTTTGGCGACCGGATTTGCTGTTGATCAGAGATGCGCGGCAAGCTTTTGCCTTCCTGGATTCTTGGGTGTTTTGAAGTGGTTTGACTGGAAAAGTGCCTCTGTGAGGCCATGGGCGCTGGGTGGCGCAGCTAGTTTCGTCGGCCTGCTTTCGGGAGCACAACGGGAAATGACCAGAGTCGGCTTGGTCATGAGTTTGGGGTCGGCTGAATTGGTGCCCAGCGGAAGCTTTTTTCGTGTCTCCACCCTGACTCGTTGTGCCCCAGCTTTCGCGCGTCTAGAGGGCTATCCTCAGATAGACACCTGACCATTGTGTTGGCCTTCTGATTGCTACCAGCCCGCTCCAAGATCTTCTGTACGTCAGATGGGAAGGAGAGAGTGACGAGAAGTCCAAGCATTCGCTTGCTTCCATTCTGGCGTAACCATTCTGAATGGAGCGATTGGTCAGGCTTGGTGAGGACATTCCTAAGGATTGATTGTGCCGTCTTCGCTGGCGTGATTTTCCCGGAGAGTGACCCCCACATTATCAATCTGGTTTCCCTTAGGCGCCTGTCCACTAAGGACCCTGTGGCGGTCTTTATAGCCAAGTCAGAGAGTTTTTTACTTTCTTCACAGCCAGAGGACTCGGTGTGGATATCGCAAGGTACTCGTTCAGCGAAGAAAGCTCCTTGTCAACTTTCATTCAAGTCGCTGCATTTTTAGTGCCTGAGTCCTCCAGTGCCCGTGAAAGACGCTCCAATTTCGCGTCGGGTATTCCGGTCAAAGCGGAACGCTGACATCGGTCTTTCTGAATCTGCAGTGGGGATTGGGTACCGTTTTTGGGGACTTTCCTCTTGGCTGTGGTATGCATTCCACTCTTAACGTAGAGGTAACTGGCGCAGACAAACGGGTCGGGCGCGTTAGCTAGTCGGCTTATCTGGTCGCCCTGTAAACCCGTGCATTTGAAGTGCCGCCAGGCCTTGCAGGTGTGGCATTGCATACCGCGTTTGACATTCGACGGGCAGCCATTTCGCCCACATCCGTTGTGGTCTATCAATGGCTGCAGAGGGCAATCGGTGTAAATTGATGTCATGTTTAGGACTAGATGTAAAATAGAAAGTGTGCGCAAAATATCAAGGGTTATCTCTCAAATGTTTTGTTAGAGTAATGAAATTAAACAATTACCCGTGTGTAATCTGTGAATAGATTGGAAAACGAAAAAATTCTTTCACAAATTTGCACGAGGGAAAAACGAAACCGATTTCGAACGTACCGCCAACGAAGTTGTGCACCGCGTTTGAGTCCAGTGTTCCAAAGGGGCCTCTGGGGCGATGTCGTCTACTTTCTGTTTTCGTGGTTTCTGGGGGTGATTTTTGCTTGGAAGGTTTTTTCGTTCCGTGAGAGCCCGGTTTGCTCGAGCCTTTTGCATTTGGGGGACGAGGTCTTTTCCCCCGTGGGCGAAAATTTCGACCGTTGCTGTTTGTAGCTCTTTCAGCACCCCCATTTTGGCGACCGGATTTGCTGTTAATCAGAGATTTGCGGCAAGCTTTTTCCTTCCTGGATTCTTGGGTGTTTTGGCGTGGCTTGACTGGAAAAGTGCCTCTGTGAGGCCACTAGCGCTGGGTGGCGGCACCAAGAGTGGAGTGCAGCTCCGCTGGGGCCTAAAATGATAATCAAACGAACGGACACTATTCTACTCCTGCAGCCAGTAGTCGCTCGCAGGACAATGAACGCAACCTATTGATTAGCTATTCACCCTATGAGGCTTTCATGCCCAATCCCGTCCCTCGTACGCTCCTGTCCTGAAGTTCTGACCTGGAGTGCACCCCTAAGCTGTGGGCGGGACTTTCGACGCCGGCGAGGATTTAGTCGTTTTCGGTACTTCAGATGGATTTTTTCCATTTGCCCGACGCGGAATTAAAATCTGCTGATGATTTCATCAGTCACGTATCCTCTAACTTCTCCATGAGCAAAGATGAATGGCGGCGGAAGTTTTGCGATGCATGTGTTGGCGGACAGGTGGATTCCGTCGTCTTCAAGGGTGTCCTAGATATTTTCCGTTATGATTGTTTTTCGGCGGATAGATTCCGAATGAAAAAAGCGAAAATGCTTTTTCTTACGAAGCTTTTCGAGTTTTTGATTGCTGGCGATTCTGGCATCCAGAATCTCGGCAGAAAACGTATGTTCTGATTACATATATCTTATGTATCCTTAGTGAAAGAATATGATTACTCAGCTCGTTGCAGTTTGGTTTGGACCATCAATTACTTTGCATATAGATGCCGAACTTGTGGCATCTCGCCCAGTATGTCTTTGTGTAGTTCTTGCTTCATGGCCGGCAACCATGTTGGGCATGATTTCAATAAGTTCAAGAGTCTCGCCGGTGGTGCGTGCGATTGTGGCGACTCAAACGTCATGCTCCCATCCGGGTAAGTATATAAGAATCATTCATACAGGAATAAGTATTCATGTGGGTTTATGAAGAATGCTACGCGTATAGTTTTGAAAAATTCATGTCAGGGCATCAGCCACATAGTAGCCATGGTTGACTCCGATCGATGTGCCACCTGGGCCGGAGTGGGTACTGAGTTGGCACGGGTTCCGTCTCACAAAAGAAGCCAACTCGACAATAGTTGATGCGCAATCATTCATAGTGGTTTTCTGACACCGTACATAGATCTTGTAGAAATCGCTCTTATCGCATCTCCATGATCCAAAACAGGCAGTTTGGAATTTGAGTACCGATTAAGAGAGTGGACAAATTTGCTTACCTGGCAGCTGTATCAGTCTTGGTGGTCTCGCAAAAGGTGATATTTCCACCCGGATCGGAAAAGCCAGAACAGCTTTTGGTAACCTTTGTCACCTGTGGCGTGGGCGTGGCATCAATTTGTCCATCAAAAGTCGAGCTTACAATGCTGCGGTGCGTTCCATATTAGTACACGGATCGGAAACCTGGCCGCTACACGCTGATGATATTTGACCATCGATATTTTCGGAATATTGCCCGAGTCCAGTGGGGCCACCGGATCAGTAATGCTGAAGTATGTCGAATGTTATTCTGAAGAAATAACTCTCCCACGGTAGGTGAGCAGACCACCACATAGGTTGTGCTTGCTTGGTCACATGCTTCGTATCCCAGTCGAATGCCTTCCTCAAAGGTGGAAACGAGCCAGAGGATGTCAAACAGTGACTTGGAGGGAAGCATAAAAGCCACTACCAGCAAACTCAGCCGCACTGGTCACTGTCGTCTTCCTGGATGGGAATCCCCAGACGGACAACATCAATGGTTAGAGACATTGTCAAACGTGGACCAGTCCGCCCTCAACGGCGTTCGTGCATCCAAGCGATTGTCTTCAGTGCATAGCTCCCTTCCCAATTACCACACTTAACAGTCCGCGGATAATCTTGTATTTACGCACCAATTTATCAGTTCCCGCCTCCAGTGTGCAGCCACCTACCACACCTCCCCAAATCATTCGTGAACGAAACTGGCAACTACAACCACTGTACGACAAGTATGCGGTTCTTACAGCTGATGATGCTGATGATGACATATTTAACCGACAGACTCTGAAATCGCAGCACCGCTCCCAGCAACCAACAGTGGCGGTTGTTTTTTACTTGGAACCGACGGTGAAGCATCGGTGTTGAACACTGATATCATGCTGTCGATGATGATGAACCTGCATTTGATACTGGATCGTCAGAGACCGACAGTATCTATGGGGCAGAGGATTGTCAGAAAAAACCGCCATCTTTCACGTGTTCTCCTTAACTTCGTTATCCGTGTAACCTGGAAGATTCACTCCCAGCCTCTAATACCTGTGAAGTCAATGTGCCCCAGGGTATTCACTTATGGATATCGAGGACACAGTTCACATAGATCTTGCTGAGTCTGACGCTATCGCCATGCAGAATACATCGGGTACTCTAAATAAGCCTGATTCAAGGCTTTATATGCGCTTTACACCTGAAAAGAGTATATTACTGCTGCAAGATTGGGTGAGTTTGAATGCGAACCTGCTGCTTGTGGAAGTGCCGATTGCAGTAGTAGTCGAACTTATCCGAGTGACTTCATCAACCTCGGTGGTTTGGCCAATCGAGCTATTTCCATCCGGAGCAGGAGCGGCAGAGCAGCTTGCATGAACTTTCATCACGTGTGGCCTGGGTGTAAGGTCGAACAAAGATCGATTTTAAAATCCGCCAGTGCGCCCCATATTGCTATATGCGTCAGGAACTTCGCTGCTACTCGCTTAGGACGTTAAAGGGTCTCTTAGTGTTTGGCTTCTAGTGCTTTGGGATCATTGTCCGAATCTGGTTGGAATATCGGGGAATATCGTAATACCGAAATACCTCGAGCGGTTTTCGGAAGAAATGACTCGCTTGCGATAGATGAAATAATCAACCTCCACTGGTTGTGCTGGCTTGGTCACGTGTTCCGTGCGTCACTAGACCAAATTGATCAGGACACCTTTTTGGCACAGCTATGCTGATGGTGAAAACGAGCCAGGGAGAGTTAACCAACGACTTGACAGAGAAGTTTGAAAGCAATTACCAGGAAACTCGGCCACGCTGATCACTGCTATCCTCCTTGAAAGGGGTTTCGGGACGTAACCCATCAGTGGTCTAGAAACATTGACAGACATGACCCAATTGCTTGCCCGGTGGCGTGGATTCAGCCATACCGTTGCCAATACTTCTTATGTATCGAAAACGGGCACGATGAACGACTATACGCGTTATGAGAACGAGCGCACAAATCCTCAGCTATGATGCGAGCTCAACCACTAATAGCGCAGAACGAGAAGACCAGAACTTCAGAGGAGAGCTTTTACTGCCTCAACTAAAGGTAAAGTACAGCGGAAGCACCGTCTAATGCACATATTTTGAGCGACCTTGGGGAACAATAGATTAGTTAGCGCACACAAAGTCCAACTGGCCACTAGGAAAGAGATGAGAAATTTAAAAGTTGAAGATTTTAGAAAATAAGATAAGCAGTAGCTCGAAAAATAAACGGTTCTTGGGGATACTGATATCTCCAACAACACTGCGTAACTTCTATTCTGAGTCTTCTCGGTGACATGTCCACCGGCACCCCTGTGTTCGCGAGTCAGTTAAGTCATCTCCCGCGTCCACTGCGTAGCTATCCAATTTTGTCTCTCCAGATCATAGGCGAGCGAAACCATGGCAGCTGTAACCAATGTACAAGATATACGCGGCTTTGCAGATGAGTATGTTGCTCCTGCCTGATTTTCTATCCAGAAGTATGTAGTTTCTATTTCAAGCACATGTTTCGGCGCTAGATAACGGCTTCTTCATCTATACGTCGTTTACGCACCGTATCTATGTGAATTAAAGGGATTGTATAGAGCGTATAGTCTTCCATTGTGTGACATCAGGACAGTGAATTACAATGGTTTCGTCAGCTCATTTGTATTCTGGAACTCGTCTAAAAAACATCATTACTCCACCATTGTTGCCAGGTTCGAGAGGTAGACTATGAACATGCTTTTGGGGCTTCTGTCTTTACTTCGACTGAATAGGCTGAAACCTGAGGCAACAGATGTTAGGCTTTTCGTGGGAGGCCACCCCGGAATCAGCGACATGAAAGTTGTATATAAGAGGGCGCAAAGGTAAGGCATCGAAACCTTGTGTTGTGCCGGTGCTTGCATGAGATGCTCCCAGACTTCAGAGATTTTTTGTCAAACGAAGTGATGCACTGACTAGCGTTTTCAGTCTCCTTGACCATAGATTTTGAAGCCTTGTCTTTTAAAGTCCATTGTTTTGCATAGTCAGTCTGGCGAGTGTAGACATACTTATCGTCTGAGTGAAGGAAGTCACTGCATGCATACTGCTGCCGCAGACTTTCTTATCATATTGCGTGGCTAGGGCTTGTCTTATTTCTGATTTGGAAGAACCCAAAGGTGTGAGTTTAATGAATCCGCCCGACTACAGGCTAATATAGTACTTGAAATCCTGGTTGAAACAAATGCGTCGGGGAGCGTGTATTATCATGTACATCGAAGTCAGTCTTTCACTCACGACCACCTTTTCAGCCTTCTTGCGGACAGGTTGCTCTATATCCTGCAGTGTACTTTGTATGACTGTTACACCTCTTCGACAAGCGGTCCAGCGTTACTCGATTGTTTCCAGCTATCCCGTACGGAACCCCACAAAATGGGTTGTTGTGCGAGGTGAATCTGGAAACAGCTGCCAGCCCATAGACGATGCGGGCTTCGTGCGTGCTTGCACGACTTTGTGCCATATTTCCTTGTTCTTTTTCGACTGCCACTTCTATTCCGCGGTTCTAGTGGGCTTTTATGGATTCCTCTCCCCGTGCCTTGTTTCTACTGAAGTTGTCCTAGTGTATACTCGCCTTTTTACATAGAAGCGAGAGAAATTAATAGCTGATCCCTTAAATCAAGTCAATGATTTGGAATAAAATGCTGTTCAGTACGACAGTCGAAACGGAAAATGGTGTTTCCGTTTTCATAAAGGAAACTACTCACAAGGTTGCTGAAAGCTCTTCGACAGCCCACGACCGGTTTCGCCCTTCTTGGGGCTCATCAGGTAGGCGAAGTCCCCGAGTTTCCGTCAACCTTATGATTTTACTTGAACCCAAATTGCACTGTTTTCGAGAAATACACTAGCAAATCAATTTGGTTTTCACGGGAGACTCAATTGAATCTCTCGTTTATGATGTCCTCCAGCTGAATGTGCTGCACACAGGCCGCCTCACGATTCAGTTGGACCGATATTCGAGATATCGCAGTATATTTTCGGTTATTCCATTCATCACTCACATTATCACCTTACATTTACGAGACGGAATACCTGGTCTAACTTTCTCTTCTTAACCATCCGTAGTTATTGCCGGTACCACGGTCCAGACAAGGTGCATAATCGCCCCTCTCCACCTGAGGAACTTGTGGCACCGCTCCGCTCACTTCTACCCCGCTTTTTACCGGCCCTGCTGTATTGGTTCTGGGAACTTTGCAGCAGTACCGATCCAACAACTCTGACAGACGAAGTTGCACCGGCTCTGTTTGTACTTCACGTCCTTCATGCTTGCGGTTGGGTCACGCAGAAGATGATTGCTGATGTTCTGATTGATCGAACAGTGTTTGAACAGCTGAAGATTGGTAAGACATACTAACACATTCGAATGCTTGAGGAAAATTAGGTACGTGGCTTCGGTGTCTCACGTATAGGTTTAGTTTATCCCTATCCTCTGGGGACAGGTCCCTAGGTCTGGATCCAAAGATACTGTCGTTATTGTTAAATTCTCCATCATTCATTGATGCGCCACCTACCGTTTATTGTCGAGCGTTTTATTGTGTTCCTGTGCCCATGCGTTATTTTTAACCTTTTGGGCTAGGCGCTTACTTTTAATGGGTGACTCAGTTGTTTGAGTTTCGGCACCATACCTTAATGTGCATGGCTCGCATGTTGTTGCCCTTTCCATTATTGTTGCAGACTGCGAAAACGAATTAGCCTACAAAGACTATGTTCTGAGCGTTGGCACTAATCCCGGCTTTCACTTACCGGGTAAGTTTCCGAATGTCAGCATCGTAGACTTTATTTTCTGTGCCAAAATTTCATTTCCACACAGAAACTTTGTTGGTTTTACTTGCTTTTATGTTGCGTTCATCTGTGTAAACTTAGTGGCTTCTAACAAAGTCGCCTCTTGTTTTACGTTTTATACTTAGACTCCGATATTCTTGCTCGAGATTAGCTTCGGCTGCAGTATGCACTTGCTGTCAGTTCCCTGTCCTCTTGATGACACAAAACCATGTCAACATTTTACGTATTGCTGAAGTTTTGCCGTCTAATCACGCATTATTATTAAACTTGTTTGCTACGACAGCCGATTAACACCGCTCTTGCAACGTTGACCCGACCTCCGTCCGAGAGTGCGTGTTTCTGTTGTGTTATTGTGTCTTTTGGGCGTCCTGTAGTTAATTAAATGAAGCCCCTGGTGTATAACCATAGTCACTGGCCGAGTTTGGGCGGACAACCTGAAGAACCTTTTCACACGTCTTCCAAATGCCAATTTTCGTTCCCTCAAAAACGGAACTGCGCATATTCCAGAAGCCTTATGGTTATTCCTCTATGTTGCCTTCAAATAACCTGTCATTACTTACTCCTTTTCACTCTTGGTAGATGTCCGTAATCAGTAATTGAGAGCTTTCCTATGTGTCGCATCAATCCTCGCGCCTACACTCCCAAACTACAAAACTTAAGCGACCGGTTTGAGTTTCTCGCTGTCTTAGCCTCCCGCAAGATTAGTCCATTCGCCGAGTTTTCGGTCTTTTAGCGGCATGGTGGAATGCGACATGGCTGGACACTACCATGGTGTATGCAACCCAGCTACCCAACTGCACAGAGGAAGGAATTATATCTGAAACCACTTGAGCCCTCTGTTAGTGCGGAACACGTTGCGGTGTCGTAAATTTTAATTCTGACAAATCACTAATGCTACGTTACTTCACAGATATCCTGAGTTCGCCAAAGTGCTCCGCTACTGCCTATTCGACTTGGAAGTTCGTCTTGAACCAGGATGCAGCTGCCTAGCGACTGAATTTACCCGTCATCACATCTAATGGTTCACCTGCAGGAATAAATTTACTGCCTCTTCTAGGCTAGTCCAACACTGACGTTTCATGGATTGCATTCCGTATTATGGTGGAACCCATTTACGTAGACAGTGTGTTTATTAGTAGGAGGACTCACCTTGACCGTTCCTCCACTGTTACATTAGAGCGATCCACCATAGTCCACTGGTCACTCTCACAAGCTCGGCTTTTATGTGGAATTGCCGCCACAGCACGCCGTTTGCGCTATGTGGCTTTTGACTGTTCGTTCGTTTCAGTGTTGTTGAGCAGATCCCGGAGGAACTCGTGTCGCAGTGGTCTTGGCACACAAGTCGAACATCATGCTTCTTTTGGAGGATAAGTGGGTGGATCTTCCTGTCCCCCGTACTCACATCCTAATTATAATAGTGCGGATTGTCTACGCAGATCTTGCGTAGGTCGCCACCGAAAACTTTTCGCCATCAATCTTTGACGTGTGCAATAGAATCTTTCATTCTGCTTCTAAAACCGGAATGTTCTCCGTGTCCAACACGGGTAACGTCGTCACATGAACAATGGCTACTTTGAAGTCACATTCTTTCCCAAGGATTTAATAAAACTGCTCTAGATTCTCCCCAACCTTTCTGGTGGACGCCAGTAGATGGTGTGCATATACTTCTTTTTCGGGTTGAATGTAAACGGCATCGAGGCTAGTTTTTGCAGTACCATAGTCAAAATATGGAGGTGAATATTAATTTGATGTGAACTTGCTTAATGTCTTTAGCTTACTAGGATCTGACTATCTCACCACCTAGAGGTACGTTTCGAAGTTAGAGCATCGGGTATTCCGGGCGTCCGTAGCAAAACTCTTGAACATGTGAAGTTTGAGTGAGTGCTTTCCCGAGTTCATTATTATAGTGGTGTCTTTGAGGACTTTCACGTTTCCCTTTCAACTTTGTTGTCGAATTAATGATCGAAATAAAAATAAATCATTCAGCTGTAACACCCTTTCGGTGCCTAGCTGTCATGCCACCCGAACGAAGCACGAGGGCTGAGATACTGCCAGGTTGCCCAAGCCTAGGCAGGGAAGTCGAGTGGTAGAGGTCGGGTTCGAACCACGGACCTTCTGGTCAGTAAATTCGCGTTCTAACCACTTGAGCCCTCTCGCCCCCTAATGACAGAAAAGTTGTCCATGTCTTCTATCTCTTGCATGGTGCAGTATACGGTTGATATTCTTGGTTCAGATCCCGCATACAAAATCGTACTGTGTGTTTGGGTATCCATTCTGCGTCTCCAAAGTGTCAAGTGCTCTTACAGTATGGAGCGAGTGTACCAGCGAAGCTGCCTGTGATTCCAGAGCCAATGAAGATAGTGGGCATTTCAGCCTATATGGGTATTTGCGTCACGTCGGATGACTCACGACGGGAATACTGGAATCGCTAAAAGCCGTTCTACTTTCCTTTAACTCGGACACCTGTATGGGCGTTACATTAGGTTGTCGGCAAAAGGCAGGTTCTACACCTTGGCTGTGTCTAGTATTACTTTACGGTTGTGAAGCCTGACCGCTGTCCTTTGTTTTTAAGATAAAATTGTTTGTCTTTGACCACCGGTGCCTTCGGCGCATAGCACATGTACCATGAGGAGATCGAATTAGCAATACAAGCCACCAGGTGAGAGGTTCCACCAGGTAGATTACAGCCATTCTTCCCAGTGACTTACTGTTCCAGCGTATACTTTGTGCACTTCATCGCCTAACGGCCGACTGCAGGTACTGTAACTGGATTTAAATCACACGAGCTAACCGTTGATGGGTGTATAACTGATGCGTCTCATTTTGCCTCTTCATTTCACCTCGCACTTGTGAGTGGTTATGAAGGAGCGGCTCGTAAGTCTCCCTGTTTGGGTTTCCGTAGCGATCCTCATCCGTTGCAAACGTCTTTGTGTTCCGCTGAGCTCAACTTTCTCAAGAATGCGTGATTTATTTTCCGTAGCCAGCACGTCATTGGGACCCAATGTTATCGCAACCGCTTTGCAACGTCCCCCATTGATGCGCTTTCTTTTACCATTTGGAATCTGGAGCGAAGATAGATATTCTGGGTTCGATTGTGAACTTCCTCACCGCATACTCCACCAATAAGGTTGTTACATACTACCGTAATTGATGGTTGCACACCACCTAGCAGATCCCAATGAACAAGACTATAGAACTCAGCAGAATGGCTTACACTTTAGGCCTTGGGTAGAAAACGGGTCTGCTTTCGCTCTTGTAGGTCACTTTTAAGCAGGCCTCATTAACAAAAACAAATAAGTCAGATATCATATTCCAGTTCAGCTGATGATCGGTTGTGGGAGCAATCCCCTGTTTAGCTAACTGAGGCAAAATGAATCAGTTTGTAACGTGACTGATGTTCCCCACAGTGGTCCATTTTCACACTTTTGTAAAAACACACCTTCGTGTCGAATTCATTCACCGGCAAATTCAAGGATTGAGATGAACAAGAGTGGCCACCAGGCAGTGACCAGGAGAGAAGTTTTCTCGGGTCTCTTTTCACTATCCCTTGTTCGCTTCTGCGTGGTGTCTCTGATTGTTGTTGCAGTTTAAACACTAGGAACTTAATAATTGTCTCTAATTACGCACTGTACTTTATTAGGGGGATCATACTATGGATCTCTAATTGAGGGGTTTCACTGTGATATACCCAGGTAACTTGCTTCCCTTTTCTCTATGGTCAACGTTCATCCTTTGCTATGACCTCGAATGATAGTTCTACTCGCTTCTTTTTTAGCGTGCATTGCCAAACAAGATCTCGCCCACCGTCACCTGTTGGACGCCTTCATCTACTGTACAATTAAACTTAGATTCCCGGAGAGTCTTGTGACCTTTCTCATCGGTCTTTTGGCTGTCGAAGAATTCAAGGTACTTGAAAAACACTTTAGCGTGTTTAGAAATACAGTAATTTGTATATCAATTTGGTATATATATGTATAAATATATAGACCGAAGAATATATCACCTTGAGTCGCCTGAGCGATGACCCAAGGTCACAGTAGTTTTGCAGTGGTTTAAAGATATGTTTTGGCTGATCATGTGTGAAGCTCAGGTGTCCACAAACGAACCAATCCTTCACGCATACAGCACCTGTTAGGCAATGTTCCATCTCCAGGCCCTTTGTTATATCTGCGAGAGCTATCGAGCCCACAGTTCGTTCCTGGTCTATCGGGCTAGGAGAAACAAACTCTGGAGGTCATTCTTCTGGGAGGATTGGTTGAATAGAAATCAAGGGGAAACTGAATTCAGAAAAAGGTGATCCGTCAGTGATGGTTTGCTAGAATTGTGCCATGCACCTGATCTATCGGCGCGAAATACTCGTTGTTCTCGCTGGCAGCTGAAGAATGTTACATCGCCGGTACATTACATCTTGAGATCAAAGAGCAGAGTGGACCTGCATGCCGTGAAAGATAGAAGTGATATCTTGCTGAGGTGCGGTTGACACTATTTTTTACATCGAAGTGTTCTTTAACGTGCTGCACTCTGCTAACTTTCAACGAAAGGCCGGTTACTCAGCTCAGGAGCCCGGTGTGTTGAACCTATGTAAGGTTCCTATAGGGTGTGGTGAAACCTTTCCAAGCGAAAGAATGTGCTTGAACGCTTCTGCTGTTAGATTTGATGAACATTTCAATAGCTCCTTTCAATGCCTATGGACAAACTTATTACCATTACGAATCATCAGTGTACACGGATCCCCAGGGAATTCGAACTTGCACCCCAGCTAGCAGTTGAAGGCTAAACCATTCGGCTGCATTTAGCTGATCAGTCGTGTGATTAATTCGCACCTAGGCAAGAAGTAGCGACACTCATCCTTCAATTACGGAATTTACTTCACGTGGTCGTGTGTCGACATTCGCAAATGGAATCTTCACCGGTCGTGTGAAGTGTTCTTCCTTTTGAACTACTTGTAGTTTGTTGATAGTATGAAGAGATTTGAAATACTGTTTAACTGCGACCTGATCACACTGCTGATCAGACGCTCGTGACCGAACGGCTTAGTTTTCAACTGTTGGCTGGGAGGTAAGTTCGAATACCCATGAACTCCAAAAAAGATAAAACAGCTGTACAACGCTTCTGGGCCTTTCACATACGGGGAGGGGGGGATATTTACTTCGCGACTTTGCTTGGTGCTGATGGGGGACACGTGAATTGCACAAATGCCATTCCATTTTCAGCTGGATGTCATTACTCATAAGGCCTATGAAAACTCTGGTAGACACTCGAGGACTAAACTTTCCTAGTGATCCCCGAGAAAGGAAAAACAGGTTTTTTTCAATCATGTGAAAACCCATCTTCGATAAACTTGGAAATTATCCATCAAAACCTCATGTCTTACCAAAGCTATTGCCTCCTGAGGTATCCTCGCTCGATTGAACACACGTAGTGAAATGGCGTGCGTGCATAGTTATGTTTTTGTGTTGTGTGCGATTGTTCAGCTTCAAAGCGAGAATCAAATGTGGAACTTACCTAATAGGGGTATGGCGGGTGTTAGTTTCAAGTAACAAATTACTGTATTTCACGAACATCACTACATTACTAATTTTTTTAAACCTGGTTGTCAATCTGTGGTTCTACGTGAGTGCGTGAACAGAGAAAATCCGTGAAATATGGTAGAAGCACTACTGGAAGGGGGTGTTGGGTGAGCCTCCTCATAACTGAATTTTTTCAGTATTTCCAGTTCTTGTCTAACTGAGTGTTTGAGTGAATGGAAACCTTGAAACTTTTATGGTGGCCTGCTTTCCTTTCTTATTGCTTTCATTTTATGGCTTTCTAAAATTAGGCATAGATAGTCTGCAATAGAGCATTGCTTGAAGTCTTGAAGTTGTGGCTCGCGCTATTATTGCTCTTCGCAGACATCAGGAAATTTCATACAAAGTTTATTATTCAAGCTTCATGCGACGTACTCGTTACATTCTGTGCCATTTTTATACTGCACTGTCATATATGTCATTACTACTCACTCCCTATGGGTTTACTTCCTATATTTCAGGAAGAATTTGTTCAATCTTATCTCAACCACTACACTCGGATCGCCTCGACCGTCATGATCTCTGCACGGACTCGGATGGTTACCGACTGGTCCTTGCAAATGAACAACCGAATTGTACACATTTCTGTTCAGCTTTTCAGCGGAGAAGGATTAGCACTCCGTATGGTTCGGGAGCGTCATCTACACTTGCTGTTGGTCCATTGCCTGCTCAATATGTGCGAGTGCTGCCGTACCGTGAGTTCGATAGCTTCGCTGGCTTTTGAAACTAGAGTCGATGCCACAGCGATTTTCACAAGTCACTCAGCTTGCACTACTCCTAATGGTCATATTTTAAATGTTTTATACCATGGTCTACTTTACAATTAATTTACTCATAATTTGATGGTAGTCTAGTAGTTTTGAGCACAGCATTAACTTTTGGTTAGCCTTTTTCAGTTGCGATTTTGCGAACCATATTCATTTGGAATGTCGTTTACTGTGTCTTCGGACGTTGGCGTACCTGTTGGAGTATCCAAACTCGTTTTTTTCGCTACTCAAGGAAGGCCGAAGGTGTCAATATGATCCGGCATTTCGAATAGCTACGCGTTCAGCCCGAGTAACCGGGTCGCGTCTTTTTTGTTCAAGTGGTTGATGTTTTTGTGCTGCATGGATCTCACTTCTCAACTACCCTTACTCTTCAAAGGAGTTTACTCGCTCTGTGGACGAGACTAATTCCAAAAAAAGCTGATAAAGTTTTCCGGATTGCTCGTTTAGAGAGTAGCCCGGTTCGTCTATCTCGCACGCTGGCTTATCCATTCTTTTTCACATTACAGCGTTTGGATGATCATAGCAACATGGTTGTGAATTGTGAGGGACCACTTATACAGAACAATGTTTTTTGGCCGTTCGTGTCAGATTTGAGCAACCTCGTGTCACACAAGTCAATTGTGGATGTTTTTGTCACGGACCCGGAGTTCTTGAACGCATGGACGAAGGTTCTCCGGTATATGCAAGTGAGTCTTTACCCCAGGATATTGATATCATACTCTCTATGTAGAAGAACTGTTTCTGCTTGCCTACTTTAGATCAGAAAATTCTCCGCCTGGGGCAGATAAGGGTCTTGAATGTTTCACTTACTTGCATGCTGATTGGAGTCTTATTCTTCCTTCCTTTCCACTCATGTCTTTAAGTTAACAAGGGTCAAATTAATTTGATTGATAATACTGCTTTACTGTTCAAAATATCACAGTCGATTCTAATTCGAGTTAATTTCCTCGTTTATTTTCCCAGTTTATGAATTGTTTTGTTCTCAAAGAAGGCGATCACATAGAATATGAAACAATGGCTTTCTATCACGCCTTCACCATGGAGATCGAGATTAGCGCCAATCCAATGTGGAACATTTGGCAGCATTACCGCCACCCGGTGAGCATGAACCTTGCACTCTTATTACGATGAGTCTGTTTTCCAAAACCAATTTGACGGAATCATGTTCAGTGAAGTGAAACGCACGTAATTTTGGGACTTACTTGCATGCTCCTTTTTCCCAGCTGGTTCTCCTTAACACTAGTCTGTGCGTTTACTACTACCCTCCCGAACGTAGTTGTAGGTCTGATCGTTGAAGTTTGCGGAATCCTCGTTAGCGCCTTTCTCCTCAAGCGGCTTTCATGAGTTAAAAACGTACCCTGAACCAGGCCGTGAAAATATCGGAAATGATTGATACAGTCGGCCAAAATACCTAGTACTACTTATACGATATACACACTGAACCTGATTATTTCTGGTGACCTGATGCTCACTGGGTTGGACAGATGACCATCACAATAACGCACCTCAGGAGAATGAATCTATCTAGGAAGCAGATTGGACAATCCAGTCGAAGTTATTCTTCAACCGTCATACTTTCTTAACTTGAAGGATTATTAATTTATTTTTTCCCGGCCCTGGTTGTCCCCACTCTGTATTCCCCACCGTATCCTCAACACTTTAAAGTTGCCGTTGAGCTACCGTGCTATCACTAGCGCCACTGAAGCCCGAATCTTAGTTCTGAGGATAGTGGATTCTTGACATGCGCTCCCTGTGGATAAACAGCAACCCGTTTTTGCGAACTGGTTCGTAAGTTTGCGCGTATAAGTCCGATTTCTCTGATGCTCCAATGCACTGAGACAGTAAAGTTCTAACTGTTTCGTTTCATCTTCGACATGATAGTCAGAACGAGAACGATGTTTGTCGTATGCTAATGCTTGCCTCTCAAGTCTGGCCAATCTCCTTGGAGGTCTTGGACGTCTCGTTTCCCCCACAATACAACCCAATCATCCATCGCGTTCCCCACTCAGTCTCCACTTGCCGCTGATGCGCCACGCCTCCTGCTTTCTAAGTTTGTCAGTTGTACAACATGGGATGGATTTGAGACAGCTGTTGGCGGAATATCTTACCCCAAAACCCTTCCTCTTGTGGCGCTTCATGGATGAGTTGGCTAATACCTTGGTAAGTCGCATGCCGTTTTGCCTTTTTACGTTTTTCATTGCCTTATTCATGGTCAAAGAGGGTTAGTGCATTTGTAAAGCATCATTCGTCTTCCAAAATCTGGTTTTTGTGTTCAATTAGGACGTTCAGCATACATATTGCTTGACTGCACCATGTTTGCTCCTGAAGACCTCTGTAGACTGTCTTGCGAAGCTTATCTTGTCAAACCCGTCAAGTGGTTTTAAGGTGTCGGTGGCTTTTAAAGGTTTTCATACCTAAACTTTAGCCTCGTTTCAGGTTTATTCATTTATCTATTTGGCACCATGATGTTAGTTATTGGCTTGTTCAAGTGTGACACTTCGTAGAATGGAACTAATCTCGTGGGAGATTCGTACACGGTACACACTACCTTAGGTGCTCCCACTTGCTGATGATGCGTACTTTGCGAGGGCATCAGTGTCATTTTTTCGGTCTATATAGCTGTAATTTTTCGTAGTCAGTTGGTGTCGAGCACTTTTGTATACAACTAGAGCTCACTTAATTTCGTGGCATCTTGTTTGGCTGTGCACTGTCGTGACGATGAATATCAAATAAACGAGGAATGTGGGGCCCCTCAAACCCAGCTCTGTGGCCTGAACATTCTTCATTTTCTTAGCTTACACTGCCCTGCTTCCACAATCGATTTTTCGATTTTTCATCGCTATCCATGCTACTTATTTTTCATCTTGTATTGTTGGCAATGATAGTATGTAGAAGAAATTATGTGAGCTACAATAATCCTGTCGAGCTGTCGCTCTCGGTTTTGAGCTGATCTGTGGAAACCACTTATTCGCTTTCTCGCCGGTTCAACCCATGAATTTTTCTGAAAAGTTAAATGGAGCTGCAGGTAACAATTAAAAGTGGAGGTATGCTAGTCCTGCTTGGTGTGTACATTTCGCAACACTTGTTCGGGGGGGGGGTGCAAAAGTAATTCGGTTTGTAGCTTTCTATGCAGTCTATTCAACCTCAACTGACGAATATTCCCCTGCTAGAAAGCTGGTTACGTAAGTGATACCCGACACTTCCTAATCGCATTCGTGTTCAGCTGTGAAATTTCTTTCTCCAGGGTCTATCACTAATCACTGAAAGAACATTTCAGCAAGTCTTCCTTCCGTCACATAAGGAAGGGTTGAAGTCACAATGACACTTTTCTGTTGGGACGGGATAACGGCGCATCCCCGAATTACTAGTGAAAATACGACTTCGCGAAAGGTCATTTCATCCTTATGTTTTCCCATGTCGGTACCAAGAGTCAGCCGTTGAATGTAAAACAAGAATACCTTATATCGTTTAAGAGAGTTTGGGTAGCAATTTTTCCCCGAATTACTAGTGAAAATACGACTTCGCGAAAGGTCATTTCATCCTTATGTTTTCCCATGTCGGTACCAAGAGTCAGCCGTTGAATGTAAAACAAGAATACCTTATATCGTTTCAGAGAGGTTTGGTAAACAATCTGTTTGTTTATTGTTTACCAAACTTCTTTGGAACGATGGCTACCTAATCAGTTCCAAACAATTTCCATTAGGAATACCCTAAACTTTTCTAAGTGAAGTGTAAACTAGCTTGCAACCAAATTATTGGAGTTTATGTTGATCTCGACTTCAGTCCTTCGGGCCTGTGGAGATGAGTCCATCAATTCGACTTGGTTTAACACAACCTTTGTATTCTGTAGAGATATTAGTACTTATGAGTAATGGAACGTTTGCTTGTTTGTTCACAGCACCAACGTATGATTATGTCCTTTATTTGATCATTTCTATCCGGGACCCATTTTCTCGAAATCCTCGCCGGTTACTAGGGTCTGTTTGTCTTTGTTTCCTGTTGTCAGATTCGACACCTGCTGGGTTGGGGAAGCAGAAACACGTCAATCATACGAGATCCCCTCGGCAACATGACGTTGTCTGGTGGCATTGATTTATCCACTCGCTGATCCTAGACCTTTAATATACTGTTTTCCAGGTTCTTCCGCCTGTTTTATGAGCAGCAGTTAACTGTGTTCTGCGCTACCAGCTTCCGAATGCTATGGTAACCCGTACCAAGATGAAATTGTAGGCTGTTCATGGTGACATAATTGAGCTGAGCTTACTAGTGACATCTTTAGGGCCGCGTAAAAGAGACGCCCCAACCGCAGGTGACGGCATGGATATTCTCCAGCTAAAATACTGGGGAGTGAACCTGCGAATATGCAGTCGGTCAATTTGCTGCTGGACTGAAAAATATTTGAGAAGAGTCTTTTCTAATCAAGACTGAGTTCTATTGTCGTGTTACTTCTCTTTCTGTCCTACAACAGCTCGGATGTCATGAGGTGATTGTTGGTTATTGGATTCGTAATGGTCAAGCCCTGCGACAGTCTATTACACACTACATGCAGAGTCAATTTTGCTATTCGTTTATTGATCTGGATATTTTTGCCTTTCAAGTAAGCAACGTTTCGAACCTCCCACATTTTTGTTTCCCAATCAATTTGGTTCGTCATTGTATTGTTTTATTATGGTTTGTTATCTTAGTAGTTAATTACAAGTAAGGTAACTTGTAGATGTCAGGTTAAACAGATATTCAAATACTTCGTCATTCTAATATGCAGCGAGATATTCAGCTCGAGATAGCCCGGTAGTTGGAGCGACGCAAGGTCCGTGGTTCGAATCCAACCCTGACATCTGACTGCACCTGTCTACTTGGAGCAAATTGGCACAGTTTCTTCAGGTGATGTGTTAGGTAGACACCGAAGGCTTGCTACCGCTGGACGTTTACTATGCTGCTGTTAGTGTCAACCGTCCTCTTGTGTACTTTAATTGGATTTGGTGAGATTGTCAACGCGCATTCAGCACCACTTCAACTTCAAATCTAGTTCGTCCTGGCTACTGCTTTCCGTTCACTGTCTCCAAATAATTTTTCTTTCTTTGCCTCCCTTACTCTTCAGGTTTGTGCCACTCTCCTACCTCCGGCCTATGTGTTGAATACTCTCTTGGATCCCACTAGACTTCTTCGGGGCATTCATTTTTATGATGAGTTGCTCAGTTTGGTTGCACCTGCGGAGCCCCGCGCAATGGACCGTAAGCCTATGGCTTTGGAGGCCTGGCTGACTAATCTATGTTGGATCCTGGATCTCCGCAACAACATATGTAGGTGTATCTTCCATATAAGCTTCTCTCATCAATGCCCATCACTAATGAAAGTACAGGGTACCCCAGAGATTAGAACAACCGTCATTTAAGTCATTTAAGAGAGTAAAGATAACTAACTAACCACAACTTTAGGCGCTAGGCAAGAAAGCAGTACTACCGAGGTAACACAGTGGGATAACGCTTTGGTGGTTTGTCAGTACTAGATACTGACGGGTCACTCGAGTATGCTTGTACGAGTGTCTTTCCTACTATTGCGTGGCGAAATGTGGGCCTATCGTTGGCTGACAGTTGCCCATATTTCTTTAATCATAGATTTAATATTTATATACACCTTGACATTTTTTTGTATCCTATCGTATAATGCAGTCAGTTTAGATGAATGGAAGATGTGGTTCTTTGAACAGGAGCAACGTACAGCCTGTGGTATTTAGTCTCCCCCCATTTTAGCTCTGTATAGTCATTTACTAGTACTGTATATAACTTTACTCCAGGAGTCAATGTTGACCTTAGCATGGAGTTTCACTTTAATATGACTTTCTTATTCCAGTTCTTTGTTCCCTGTGCTCTAGCACTCATTGACGAATAAAGGTTCACTGGGTGTTCTGATGAGTTTAATATATGCTGGTAGTATTGCCGTCACGAAGAGACTGGACCATACCGTGGTGTGACGGTTTGCGCACCTCAGCGATCCATTGAGCTATACTGGAGAGTGTCCCGCGACACTCACAGAGTCTCTC